AGCAGCCATGATGTCACGATCAGACAGCGGAGTTGAAGCAGTCAAGGACAAACAAAGAACAGGGAAGGGGCTATGGAGGTTGCTTAAGCTTCTCGGGCGTGTTAGACGTGCTAGTGCGGTAGTTAAGGCCTCCTTTGGTTGAATCCCTCACCCCTGATCCCGGACTCTACATCCTATACAGTAGGAGATGAAAATCTGTAATGCAATGAGCTCACCCCTACGGATGGTGTGACCAAACTTCATATCTAACTAATTAAAGCAATTTTTGTTTGGTTACTAGATGTGCTTGAAAACAGAACGCATGAAGAAAATGTTACAAAAATCATAAACTATATACTATGCAAGTTTTCATACATGTGATTCACGTCTTATGCACTTCCAACGTGCTTAGTGCTTTACATGCCCTGCTCCAAGCGGGCTAGACCATGAGACAAATAGCGACTATTAAACCAACTTGTTCAATATGTCAAGAGACAACCAAAGAGTCTAAACCAACACATCAGCTTAGTTTGACACAGAACATATTGCTCCAAAATCAAAATGCAATCTGGTCAAACTGGATACAAAATTTTCTTCACCTCGTTCCTCTTAAGCAAGTAATTAATCTCCTTCGCACTCTAGTTAAAAAGCAAAATCCCCTATGTTTTCTAAATAAACGATTGAAAACTGACAATTAAGTAAGTCTTAGTCTTACATGGTAATTATTAACTAACCAAGACTCAGAGAATACAGTGGTCTTCATTTTCAAAAGCACATGTATCTGATCAACAAAGCACGCACAACACGGGCTCAAACTCTCAACAGTAGTCATCTCAAGGGTGACTCTATCAAGTTCGAGCTAATTGTAGCAGGGAGGGGAAGTTGGAAGTTGGCTTCGTTATTCTGCTGGTGCCGTCGCTATTGCTTCACCGGCTGCCGGAAAATCGGAGGAGAAAGAAAGTTGGAGAGGAGTCCGACGAGGAGGTGGATTTGTTTCTTGGTCCGTACTAGCCCATTCCATACGGATAAAATGTCCGAAGACGACGAGGATGGGCCAGGCCAGCTCAGTATAATAAGAAATGGGCTTCTTTAGTTAGGATAACCCAGCCCATCTGTTATTACTTTTTCGTTTAATATCTGACTTGGTCCTCAACTTATTGATTTGATCTCATTTTGATCACTAAACTTATTTAGATTCTCAAATGGTCCTTCCACTTAATTTTCCTGCCAAAAAATCGAAACGCATTTCTTTCGCACTAGAATTATCTCACTCCAGCTATCCTTCTTCATCTTCTTCCTCAAAGGTTTTCAGACAAAGAAAACCCTAGACAACCTAGAAACAGAGAATGGCATCACAGAAAAGGAAACCAAAATCCCAAAATATATAACCCTAGTTACCAAAAACAGTGGTCTATTGATCTAATCCAGGTAGCTCCTCCCTTTCTCGATCCGTAGCAACACAATCCTCCAATAGATTCGCCAAATTACGCGAATCGTTGAAACCTAGCTGATAATTTCTCTCAGTTTTTCGACGGGGAGACATAGCCAAGTGTGTCGTCGGACTGAAGGTGCCTCAGTCGTTCTCATTTCTCTGCAATTACTCTTGCTGCTACATCTTAGTGGATTAATTATGTTTTAGTATTTTGCAATTTTCGAAGGGTCCATTATCAAATCCCGTTTGGTTTTAAGGAACATGGAAATTTTGATCATTTATTTATTTGCCTTTTCCTTGATTCCATGTTCTTACAGGCTTAGCAAGGATGATATATACGGCTATTGACAACTTCTACTTAACGGATGAGCAGCTGCAGAACTCCCCTTCCAGGAAGGACGGCATAGATGAAGCAACTGAAACTACTCTGAGAATCTATGGCTGCGATCTCGTTCAAGAAAGTGGAATTTTGCTTAAATTGTATCCTTTTCTTGTTTTAGATTTGTTTATAGGATTTTTTTGAAGTCCCATTATTTGCTGGTTCATTGGAATGGTTGTGTGAAACATAATTATTATGTCTTGCTATCAATTAAGAATGCTCAAGGATAGACTAGAAAACTCTCCTTAGGAACTTAAATTGTTGAAACCAGAGTAGTCATTGCTTTTCCTAAACCTGCAGACCTCAAGCTGTCGTGGCCACTGGCCAGGTCCTATTCCATCGCTTTTATTGCAAGAAATCATTGGCTCGTTTCGATGTGAAGGTAATTTATTTTCCCATTTGAACTTCTCCATGGTTGCCAACTAGTTGTGACTTGTGAATATGAAAGGTAGAGTGTAATTATTGAAATTGTCTTGGATGTTTATTGCTTTTTGAGACAATGAATAATGCATGCAATGTGCAAACCAATCAACATTGTTGTGTCATTTTTTCATAATTTTTCCTTTTTCCCATGATTTCTCAGCATCTATGAACTTTCCTAAGTTTCTTTCCCTTCTTCCAATCTAGTGTTATGTGGTTTGATGATTTCTTGCAGATTGTCGCAGCTAGCTGTGTTTGGCTTGCCTCAAAATTAGAAGAAAGCCCTAGAAGAGCCAAACAAGTTATCCTTGTTTTCCATAGAATGGAACGTCGAAGAGAGAACTTACCTATAGAGCATTTGGACCTGTTGTCAAAGGTTAGAAGTCTGTATTTACTACCTTGGGCTATTCGTCAAATATATTCATTTTGGCAAGGAGCATTGCATTATTCATCATGAATATCTTTCAACAGTAATCTTTAACAGTCTTTTTTATAGTTTACGTATGGGCTTAAGTTTATTCCTCAGGTTACAATGCCCTGTCTTTCTCTTCAAAGCAGATTGAATTGTCTCTTTTCTTGGCTGATGATTCTTCAATTTGTTTTGGGTTTTGTATTATTTAGATTGCGGAATTGAAGGCAGAATTGAGCAAAACGGAAAGGCATATATTGAAAGAGATGGGCTTTGTTTGTCATGTTGAACACCCTCATAAGTTTATATCAAACTATCTTGCCACCCTTGAAACCCCTCCAGAGTTGCGGCAAGAAGCATGGAATCTAGCAAATGATAGGTAACTATTGCAATATGACTAGTTTTCCTTTTTAGTATACTTTTAATGGCGGCTTACATTACTGGTATGGTATGATTGTATATATGGTAAAATTTTTATGAGGATACGATATTAGGCATAAACTGCATTAGAAAGTTGATTGCTAATTTGGTTGCCATATCATCTGAAGTCTGAACCTCTAGAATAAATACATGATGCTTTGAGTTTAGATACATAGATGACATTCTAAGTTCATTCTTAACCATTCTTGTTTTCATTGTGGTTGCCATATTCCATCTGTTACTGGAACTTACACTATTTTCTTCCATTTTATGTTTTATTATATTAATTTTCTTTGGAGTAGCTTGCGGACAACCTTGTGTGTTCGCTTCAAGAGTGAGGTTGTTGCTTGTGGGGTGGTGTATGCTGCAGCTCGTAGGTTCCAAGTACCGCTTCCTGAGAATCCACCGTGGTGGAAGGCATTTGATGCAGATAAATCTGGGATTGATGAGGTTTGCAGGGTTCTGGCTTGTTTGTACAGCCTTCCTAAGGCACAGTACGTCCCAGTCCTTAAAGATGGAAAGCCATTTACTTTTTCCACCAAGTCAGGAGATTCACAATCTCAGGCAATTTCAAGGGTGAATATGATTTTCACTCTTTTCCCTTTTCCAGGCATTATTAGCATGTGTTTACCAAAGTATTGTTGTTTTCAATAGCTATCGTATCTTCAATTACAGTATGTTGCATCATGAACAGTAATTACAAAAACGTTAGGCAATGCTGAGGCATTGGGGTACTACCTTGTGCCTTGGTTTTCTTCTTCTTCTTCTTTTTCCTTTTTTAAAAAAATTCCAAAAATTGGTAAATTCCAAAAAAAAAAAAATGTCAGAATAATTACCGTAAAAAGAAAAACCAATTTAACTTTCTAGGTATTGGGCTGCTGCCTAGCACCTAGGCGGCATCTTTTAGAACACTGATCGTGAATGGAAAGAGCTGCCACTGCTGTTGTCTTGTTAGGGTGATCCACTGCTTGTTTATTTTTTTCTTTTTGGTAACTAATAGCATCATTTGCAGCATGTAATTGAATGAAGGATGGCAACTGATGAATTCCAGCTATGTTCTTAAAATTTTGAGGGAAAATAGGGTCTCTATGATACTGGAATATTTTTTTCTTTTTTTTGGGCACGTCTGATACTAGAAGTTTTGTTATTTAAGGTGGAACTGTATTTTGTTACTGTCTTGCAGGAGGCCCCTGTAAGTAGCCCACCAGTTAATAATGATACCAATGTTTCAAAGTCAGCTCCACTTGAAACTGGTGGGTCCAAAGAAGCAAAGATAAAGGTTGCACTTGATAAGCTGAAGGATTCTAAGCTAAGTGATGATGAATCAAAGAGCATGCCTGCTGATGGGGAGGCAAGGGAAGAGCCTAGGCAAAAATCCAAGTCCGAACAAAGGACTGAGACAAGTGGTGATAAAATCAAGGAGAGAGACAGGGAGAGGGACAGGGAGAGGGAGAGGGACAGAGAAAGGGATAGAGACAGAGTGAAGTCCAGAGATCGTGACAGAGGCAGGGATTCTGACAGGGAACGAGATCGCGATGAGATTGAAAGGGATAGAGATAAAGTCAAGGATCGAAGTCATCGTTCCAAAGACAGAGGAAGGGACTCAGGTTGTTTCAAAAGTTCTTGCAACATCAATCATCCTGCATCCTGCACTAGTACATTATCCTCTTCTTTCTATTCTCCACATACTGTTCTAACAATATTTGATTTTCCGTGCAGGTTATTCAGAGAAATCAAGACACCAATCATCACGTGGTATGCAATAACTTCACTCAAAATCCGAATTTCTATTGTCACCTTTTAGTACTAATTTCTGTTATCTAAAACTTTCTTATTGTTTCAATTTTTTGTCTAGATCGTGATTATCACAGTTCCTCTTACTCTTCAAGGGAGAAGGATCGCTACAGACATCATTGACATGCCTAAAACAATTCTGAAGGTGACTTCTCTTTCTGTCACAATAAACTGGTAGACTTGGGAATCTCTTATCGACATCTACTGAAGTGTACAATTTTGATTTAGAAATGCTTTGCACTATCTCTGAAGCTAAATTTCTCCTTTCGGTTTCGTGATGTGACTTTCCTTGTTCCCTAACTATGAGTAATGGTTTCTTTAAGTCTTTGAATGGGTTGATTTGCATGGTTTCATTGTTGAAAATTCAATTTCAGGTCTAGTCTGGACTTGAAGGGAAAATAGATGTGAAAAATGTCCCAGAGGCATATCATGTGATGTTATTAAAATTACCACCCAAATTATGCCAGTGTCTAAAATAGCTTATGATGCAAGCATGGTAGCGAACCCCTCTTTTCACCCGCTTGCCAGTGAATAAAATGCTCTTATCTCCCCGCAGTTACTTGGAGGGGACCTAAATCTTTTGTTTCCCATTGTAGCCCATTTTTTAAATGCTATATATGCCCTTTCTTTTAATTCTGCTGAACTTTGGTATTGTCTTGAATGATATAACATTTTCTTACCGTAATTACAAAAAAAGAAGGGGCGGGGGGAGAGGGAAATGATGTCACATTTAATCTACTCAAGGATTCAAAGTGGTACGAAGTAGTTAGATAGGGAATATCGGATTAGCACAAAATACAATGATTTGCTTACAATCTTTCCCTTTTTTTTCTACAAAGTTTTGTATGTGTGATTTACCATAAAATGAGTTAAATATGCACCGATTTACATGTTTCATTGACTAAAAAATTCAATTACTCATTTGATGTGAGGGCACATTGCTAAAACATTATAAGAAAAGGATGTTAGGGTTTATTATTGGATATCTTAATAATTTTATTATCAGAATGTTTTGATATTTTTGTTTTCCTTTTAAAAAAATTTTATTGTACCCAATAAAATTTAACGATTGTGCGTGGATTTCTCTCTGTAATCCACGAAAGATAGTCTGATCTGAACTGTAATGGTAATTGAATAGGTGCCTGTTCTTCAATTAAACCCTTAATAAGACGTTAATTTTTAGAAAATAATTTACCTCCTGTTGACCGTTTCCTCCCGCCCAACATAGAAAAGAAAATTATATTACAAAATTTAATCTGGCCACATACACGACAGCCGGAACGCGGCAAATCATGACTGGCAGCCGCGAAGTTGTGTAGCATGTTCCGTACGTATTTTTTGACCCAAAAAACACTAACCGAAAGGTATCAAAGGTTGTTTCTTGTTGCCTGTTACGGGTGTTGTTAAGTTTAGGGGTGTAATAATCGGATGGTGCCCAGCAACTACTTTCCTCTCTCCCTCCTCCAGTTATCCGACCTGTTTTGTGTTCTTTCTCCCTTTCCCCCCCTTTTTTTTTTGGGTTTGGACGGTCATTGTGTTTTGGGTTTTTTTTTTTTTTTTTTTTTTGGCAAGGTCTGTTCTTTCTCTTCCCTCCCTCCCTCTCCTTTCCTCTGCTCTCACATGATGCGTCTTCAGTTTCTTCTTTGGACACTTCTTGTTTTCTAGAGGGAGGGAAAGACAGTCGTCCCCATTGTGTCATAAAGATCTGTGAATTTTTATGCGCAGGTACTGGATTTATTCATTTCCTCTCCTTCCGTTAAATACATCCTTGTTTTTTTCCTTGTCTCTCATATGGTATGGGCTTTTCCTGGCAGTTTTCTCTTAATGGAGTTTGTCAAAATTCAAACTTTTGATCTGGGTTTTCTGTTTTTAATGATCTTGCATGCCCACCATCAGTTTTTTTTTTATAGTATCCTTTAAACGAGGAAAACAGATTAATTAAATTCTAATATTCTTAAATATTATAATCTGGATTGTTTAAAAAATCTTCACCTCCCTTCCAACCAAACATAATGATAAAGTTTTGATAGTTTTAAGGTTGAAAAGTTAGTTCCATAAAAGATTTGATTAATGGGCAGCTCCATTTTCCTAAATTCCTTTTTCAAATCCACGTGGAATTTGCATCATGCTACATTTCTCAATTTCATCATATTTTAAGATATTTAAGAAAATTCCCTGTTGGTTTGTTCTTATTTTGCTTGCCTTGGTTCTGAAGACAACCTATTAGGAGATGGGGAGAAAATGGGGTTTGTTTTCTGCTGTGAAGAGATTAGCCCTCAGCTCCGAATCAAATAAAGGACAGGTTTGGATGATTCAGTCTGTAACTCATTACCTCCTTTCCAATCCATATATGTATCTCTGGTTATTTAAAGACGCTTCTAATCAAATATTGCTTCATTTTGTTTCACTAGAAACCCCAGAAATCAAAGAAGAGGTGGTTGTGGAGGCAGAGGGATGCTAAGCCAGATTCTTTGTCTGAAAAGACTGCAGTGATTCCACCTCCCCCTCCCCCTCCTCCCCTTCCCATTAAACATATAAAATTAACTGAAGAAGGAAATGAACAGAGCACACATGCTTACTCGTTGGTTGTTGCCGCTGCAGCGGCCGCAAAGGCTGCTGTAGCAGCTGCTCAGGCCGCCGCTGAAGTTGTTCGCCTCACTACTGCAGCACGTTCCCCTAGAAAATCGAAGGAGGAAATAGCTGCCATCAAAATTCAAACTGCATTTCGCAGATACAAGGTATAAGACTATGAGTTGTTCTATTTCTATTCCCAAGTCTTCTAAATTCCTACTCTAAGTTACATAAATCATGTAATTATAAGAACCTTTTATCTTTCATTTGAATTTAATGCAGAGGCCTAACTTGAATTAATTTGCCCCTTAATTTAGATTCATACGTACCACATTAATGTTTGCTGTTAGTATGCAAACGCTGAGATCACCATAAAGATGTTTAAAGAAGTTATGCTCAATTAAGGAAAACAGTGGGTAGTGATATGTAAATCATGAAGTCCTAGGAATAACCTGTATTCATGAAATAAGTAAATACTGTTGTGGATCTCAGGCTAGGAAGGCATTACGGACTTTGAGAGGGTTGGTGAGGTTGAAATCATTGATCCGGGGGAAAGCTATTAAACGGCAAGGAAGTTCAGCATTGCAATGCATGCAGACTCTAGCTCGTGTTCAGTCTCAGATTCGCGCAAGGAGGATCAGAATGTCAGAGGAGAACCAAGCTCTTCAGCGGCAGCTCCAACAGAAACATGAGAAAGAGCTTGAGAAGTTGAGAGCTTCTGTAAGTGCCTTTCCTTTTACCTTCTTCCATAAAATATCCTTGCTTTTGAGGTGTTTATCAAAGATATATGTAAGAAGAATTACTTTTGCATGCTGCTTTTCTTTTCATTTTTTTTCATTTCCTTGAAAAAAAATCCTCACTAGGTAGCCTAATTAAGAAGCATATTATGCTGTTTGATTGTATGAATTAATTAGATAATCTTCCTCAACAGATGGGAGACTGGAATCACAGCACGAAATCTAAGGAGCAAATGGAAGCAAAACAAGCAAGCAGGCAAGAAGCAGCTATGAGAAGGGAAAGGGCATTGGCTTATGCATTCAATCACCAGGTACTGTTTTTAATGCAGAAAGTGTATACATTTTTAATCATGGAAACATGTACCATAGATAGCACAAAGAAGCCTTAGCTAGCCCAAATGATCTTCTTGCTGACAGCAAACATGGAAGAACTCGTCAAAATCACAAAATCCACCTTTTGTGGATCCAAACAATCCCCATTGGGGTTGGAGTTGGTTAGAGCGATGGATGTCAGCTCGTCCTTGGGAGAAACGATATCTAACATATAACTATGACCATGGCTCTGCTAAGAGTGAGGCAAGCCGTTCTACGTCTGTTCATAGAGATCTCAACCATGCTACACCCCAAAAATCAAGCCGACCTCCGAGCTGTCTTTCCCCTCCAACTGCATCCTCAAAGACATCATCTGTATCATCAACTATAAATAAATTGAAGTCACCAAGCCTGAAGGTTAGCTGCTGGGGTGGGGAGTATGATGACTCAAGGAGCATGCTCCGTGTTCAATCAGAGCGTTACAGGAGGCACAGCATTTCAGGCTCATTTATGAGAGATGATGATAGCCCTACCAGCTCCCCTGCAGTTTCAAGCTACAATATGGTACCCACAAGGGCTAAATCAGCAAAAACCCATTCGCCAAGTCCATTGGGAATAGAGAAAAACAGGACACCGGAGAAGGGATTGCAGGCTTCTGCCAGGAAGCAGCTTTCATTCAGTGCATCACCAGCAGGAGCTAGAGGACATTCTGTTCCTCCTAAAGTTTAATTAACAACATTGGAGCAAGGACAAAACAGAAACTAACCAAAGAAGGGAGCAGGTAGTACCACATACCACACCAAGAAAACTCGAAATCTAGCTGAAAATCGAAGAGGGAGAAGGATGAGTTAAGGTTGAATGTTAGTGTTGTTGATCTTCTTTGGCAACTGTTCTTGTTGTAACAAGCGCAGCAACAGAAGAGTAAATAAGTAGCTTTAATATCCACACCATTGTTCTTCTGAAACAACTGCTCTTCTTAGTCATGATATTTTAGGATTGGTGTTGGGGTGAGGGTGATGATATTTAGTTTATGATCTCATTCAATTGTTTGAACTCTTTGAATTTTTGAACAAACAATAAACTTCCTTTTTATGAATATTTTAGGGGAACAAACAGTAAATCTTCCTTTTG